GCACTCAATGGTCCGCGAATTCTGAGCAGTTATATTGTAATGTGACGGCGGCGAGGCGGGTTGCTACTCGGCAGCGGCACAGAGGAGGGATGGTATATGATGGGACGCCTTATGGGTGGGGCTTGATTATCTCGCGTGACCCGCGAACTGGGAGAATACTATACAAATACTGAACTCCCAGAGGTGCCTCGGCACACTATGAATATTGTATGAGGACAGTGGTATCTCTGGTATCTTATTTGTCAAAAGATAAAAGACGAATCGCTGGCTCCTAGAATAGAGAGCGCAGCATCTAGCTATTCTATATAGACAACGGGCAGCCATCCTCCCCTCACTCTATGAGCGAGGGTAGCCGAAGCAACTCCGCAGTGGCGCTGCATTGATCTGCCAGAAGGAATCCAGACCCCGTATAGAAACAGGATTCTCATATCTCATCAATCGGATCCTCTTCTATTGCATCCGAATGATGTCATAGGGTGGTTGGAAACCGGTTCGGACACCTGCGTGATGTCATGGGATAGATGGGATTATCCGAGGGAAACGATGGGCCGTGTGGAGCCGTCACGGGGCCTTGGCACAACCAAGGGTGTGACATTATTATTATTATTATTTATTATACTCCGCCTTCATCCAATGGATATGCGGTTCTGCTACCATATGAATATATCAATTTAATCTTATTTTTAAGATTCTTCTGATAGAACTCTTCAGATTCCTCTATAGCTGTCTTTTTATTGATAAGATGATACTGTTATATTTAAATGATTCAGTTGATGAGAGAATTGTTTTCTTTCAATTATAAGAGACTTAAAATGACATTCTCATCTATAATATTGTGAAGAAGCAGACTGCTTCTCTTAAAAGTTTCTTCAAAGTTTGTAATCTCACATTTTGCTTGAATGATGCTGAATTGATGGCATTTTGTTTCATCTGTAAACTTTGTGTGGCCCGGCGGACCTATCTTTTTCCAACTCTTCATAAGTGAAAAGAAATAGAATATAAAGTTAATGTTCATTTCAGAGTCAACTAGACACCTCACTGATATCTTCTTTGATGAGGTATTCATTTTCAAAATTATATAAATTCAGAGTCATGAGGATTGTCAATTCTTCTTGAGTTTTTCCTTTTTATCTTCAATAAATACATTTATCAGAAGAAAAGTTGTCTTTGAAAAGATATCTTTTCAATTTCTTCTCTTTTTCACCTTATAATAATTATTGACAAAATGATCTGAGATTCTGCAGTTAAAATAAAGATTGTTATTCAGTTTATTTTAATGTTTTTTTACAGTAAATGAAGAACTGAAACACTTTGAGTTCTTCTTTACATCATTCACATTAAAGTTGTTATGATGCTGATTTAATCTCATTGTCAATTGCTTTAAAGAAGTCTTGTTCCCCTTCTTTTCATGATGTTGATTATTCAAATAGATTCAAGAAATCAAATTGACAAGCTTGATGTAATTGATGAATAGGTTTTGATATTACAATATCATCATTCACCTTTTATAAGTCATCTTTATAAGATAAAGCTGTGTTTTTAATAAATTCAAATCATCAAATAATTTCTTTTAATATTCTTCAAATCTTGCATTGAAATTGAAAGAATTCTCATTGTTTCATTGATGTAGTGAGTTGAACCGCTGCATCACTGTGAAGATATGATTACAGTGATCTTCAATTTGATTCAGAAGAAAGTTCTTAAATTCTTTTCGTATTATAATAATATTGTTACATTCAAACTCTCTTTTTTTGATTATTCATGTAGTTGCAGAGGTGTTTTTTGAGAAGGCTCACAGTGTATATGACTCATATTTATAAGTATAAATGACTCAGATTAAAGTAGAATTTCTGTTCAAGAGTTTTTATAAAGTTATAAAATTCAGACAGCATCTTATTCTTGTAATTCAGCAAATTTTCAATCTTGATTCCTTTATCTTCATAATAAATATAGAAGTGTAGGGGCTGTGAGAGTGGCAGAATGATTGAAGAGCTCATATTAAAATGAGTAGTGAGTTCAGAAATTTCAGATTTCTATCAAAGTAGAGGTGTATACACTCTAGAAAATGATGTGAAGGCTTCTTCAGAGGGTGCAGTCAGATCAGTCTCAGCATGAATATGTGAAATCATATCAATCAATAAAGCTTGATTGATTCAAATGTGTAATCAGATTGAGCAATTCAAATTGTAATGTGACAGCACTAAAGCAATTGCTATTCAGCAGCAGCATAGAGGAGGATGATATATAATGAAAAGCTTTATGAATGAATTTGATTATCTCACTTGAACTGCGAGCCCATAGAATATTATACAAACACTAAATTATCAGAGATACTCAGCATACTAAGAATATTGTATGAGAATGATGATAACTCCAATATCTTATTGTTAAAAGATAAAAGATGAGTCATTGACTTCTGAAATAAAGAGCCAGCATCTAGCTATTTTATATAGACAACAAACAGCCATTCTCCCCTCACTTTATAAATGAAAGTAGTCAAAGCAGCTTCATAGCAGTGCTGCATTGATCTGTCAGAAGAAATCTACTGACTTCATATAGAAATAGAATTCTCATATTTCATTAATCAGATTCTTTTCTATTGCATCTGAATGATGTTATAGAGTGATTGGAAACCAGTTCAGACATCTGCATGATATCATGGGATAGATGGGATTATCTGAAAGGAAGTGATGAGCCGTGTGGAGCCGCCACAGGGCCTTGGCACAACCAAGAGTGTGACAATATTGAATACAATAGAAACTGACAATCATATTATTTATTATGATATTTCATAACTTGATCTTTATAAACTTCTTTATTTCATTGATAATCATTCATTCATACAATTTGAATGAGATCTTAGATTCAGAGATAAATGTTTGCAGAAATTAAAATTTTTTAATTATATTTTTTTCTTTTTCTTTTTCTTCTTTTTCTTCTTATTCTTCTTCACATCATCAGTTGAATTTTTGTCATCATTTAGAACATTCAGAACAGACAATTTGAGTAGATAAAAATGTAAAGTAATTGAAATTCTTTTATAAGTTTATAAAGCTGTAAAACAGTGGATGTTGCAGAACATATTGACAGATTTGATGATAAAGATGCATATTTGATGATAAAGGTGTGTATTTGAATGAATTGAATGATATTTGAATGATTCTAGAGATACATGGATATTTTGGTTATTTTTGCAGTGTTTTGCTACTATTTTTCAGGGGGTGGCAGAAAATTCTGTTTTCGCAAGCTTTACGTCCGCCACAATAATGGCGTATCGGGACATCTTGGAGGAGCGAAATGAAGGCCTGAGTGACAAAGTGACAACGCTCCAGGATAAATTGCGAATGTTGAGCGCTGAAACGGCGGTTTCTAGCACCCCTTTCACTGAGTAGTAAGTTCTATCTATATCTTTACCTTTTTTGCTGCAGGTAGATTCCAAACAACTTTTTTCTCCTCTCTTTTCTTTCTTCTTTCGAGTTAATGGCTGACGCATCCTTCCCGTCAGTAAAAAACACATAGCGGATCTGTCCCGATTTATTGGAGACTTCGTGGTGAAATTTGAGAATGTCCCTAAGGATGTTGAATTGGTATGATTGCTACCCAGCGTGAGCCGTAATCTGAGTTGCACTAATTCAATTTTCCATTGTGTAGATCTTCGGTCCACTAGGAAGCTTGGGCAAACTTAGAGAAGCGGGTGGCATATTCGACTATATTTACTCCGGTAGCCACATCTCTGCGGAAGGCTGGTGTGCACAATTTTATAGCGGGGACGTTGGTTTCAATATTCCAAAACAGGTTGCTTATCAGGCGCAGCACAGATAGTAGTGGCGAACACGACGAGGCCATTCTGAGCCCTGAGTCCGGATGAAGAACAAGTCTGGAGAGGAATAACTGTCAAGGCACTTGACAAGTTGCCCAGGGTTTCCGGTATCTCGCAGACCGTTGACCAAGCAGTAAAGGAAGCGGTTGACATGCTGCAGCCGCTTATCCAAAATGATGAACAAGCTATCGCCTCTGCTAGAGAGCAGGTAGCTGAAATTACCAAAGCTGCACTAAAAATCTGGTCCCTGCGACGTAAGGACCGATGCACGATAACAATCAACAGCACTCCAGGTCTAAAGAACGATGACTCGTGGAATTTATGGACGGTTGACGAAGATTCGGTAATTCCTCCCATTTCATTCCCCGGCAGCGGCGTCAATGCCATCAATGGCAATGGAAATGGCAACAATATCGGATCCGAAAGCCCAACCCGCACCACGTCCCAATCATTCGCAATCCATCAAAAGCCCGAATCGTACGTGATATTCCCACAAATCATCGGCGAATTTGACACCAACAACGATAAAAGAAGCGATATCGGGAAAAAGTCCAACATACGACAGAGAGAGATTTTGCATCCGGGTATTGCGCTCTTCTCCAACTCGCTCATATTCGACATGGGTCTGCAGGATATATGGAGCTTAAAGGACGGTGCTCACGGTCTCCAGCATAGGAGGAGGATGACGTCTATTTCTTCATCAACAACCATTCCGAACAATTCAACTGCCAATAATTCCTGGCTGACACAGCCTTATCCGCAGAATTTGACTGGGGAACCGGCAGGGTTGAATGAATAATTTGCAGTTGTCGGCTCATCTTTTTCGTCTCGGTCACACTCATGTTTCTCAATATTGGCGTCAGTATCGTTTGAGGAATGAACTAGGCGTCCATGTTCGGTTCTTTCTTTTTCCTTCCTTCCTTGAAAAGCGTAACGACTGTTTTGAGTTTGTTTGGTACTAATGTTTGATATATTCCGGGCACCTTAGGGTATTGAAACTACGAGAAAATGATTCGATTGTGGCCTTTAGTGACATAAGAGTATATATCGCTCTGGTTGATACGGTCGACCAGTAGCCCATTTATTGGTTATCCAATTTTATGAATTGAGAGCATTCATCCGTGCCCGTCCGTGCCAGTGAATTTTCGTTTATGGGCCAGGAGAAAAGAACGTGTATCTGCAATGGAGACATCAATCATACCTACGATGGAAAAACCAAAATTAACAAATTGGAAAATAGCATTACAATCCCTAATGACTGCTAACACATTTTTTGCTGTATCCCTCCGCCAATCTCTACGGGGAAGGAGAAGCATGATGAGAAACAGTAAAATTCATATGTTAAACTGCGTTTGAGAAATATGCGTTATCAACTGTATGTAGGTATGACAGTGAGAAAATGTAATACAGGCGCTAATAACCGGCCATAAGCTCTTCGAACTAAAGGATAGTATTGATAAGTGAACGAAAGACTCGGGAAGTATTAAAACTTTAACACATACCCCACCGGCAGAAACGCCATATCGCTGAAATTCATGGGAAAAATATTGAAGCAGTTGAAAATGGAATATAGGTTCTACGGAAAGTGATATGACGCAAAAGGTCGTTTATCATCACGGTAAAGCTACCTCCTCATCAGTGGGATATAGCAAGCCCAGTTTGTTACTTATACTCCTCGTTCGGATCCCATTGGGAAGGCTGGAAATCAGGATGGTGGAAGTGTGCAAGATTTGTAGGAGAGCTATGAGTTGGGTCAGTATTACAGGGTAGAATGTGGCAACATAGTTATATAATGATTTGTAAGAATCTACCTACTTGCTGAGAGGTATAGAAGGTAGCGGAAGGGTATTCATTGGCTCACACACTAATGGATTCATCCTAATCTGGAGTTCTGTGGATTTATCCGGAGTGGAAACTGGGACTGACAGGAAAACTGGAGATTGAAGAGGGTTGCGAGGGAGCTGGTGGAGACTGGGAAACCACCGGAGTGGAATGTTGGGTCAATATGTCTGCCCGAAAACGTGTATGGTTGGCTAGAGGGCGCTTGTGGCGAAATACTGCTTGTATTGAGGGGGAGACTTGGTATGGACATCAAAACTGGGTTCAAATCAAACGGCAACGCGCTCGAATACCAGGGCAGATAGTCAGAACTCATGGCGTATTGGAAGTTTACTGATGTGAGTCCTTGATCGTGTCTTGTTTGATCGGTTTGATATAAGAGATCGTAGTGACCACTACATACTATTTCAGCATCTGCTAGTTCGCGATACGGGGTAAGACGGGAATTCTTACGGCCGATAAAGAAGTCTGATGGTTGCGATGGGACTATTCGGTGAGAGCAAATGAGGGGTGACTTCCGTCCCCTCGCTCCTGTCAAGGTAGAGAATCTCGATAGCAAGCCCTGACCCTTCAATGACTCCGTCGAACAGGCCCTGGAGGCCTACTTCATCGATTTCGGTTTTAACTGTTTCGATTGTCTTTTCACAATATTCCCCAACAGACACCCCAAGGAAATCCGTATAACGGCTGGAATTCAATTTCATCCAAGCACTCGTCATTAACTAGTCCATACCAATTTGGTTAAGTAAAACCTTTAGCAGTTATGGAGGTGGAGATTCGCTTGGTCTCACCCTAAAATGCATAATAAGAGAGGAGGAATTGTATTCGTCGTTAAACGCGTTAAAGAGGAAGGTATCGTCAAAGCTTCCTTTCCCAATCTCCTGCGATATCTGGTTCAAGAGCTCCTCGGTGGCGTCAACGAACATTTCGTAGAGATGCTCCTGGCATCCAGCGGAGTTCAGGAGCTTGTTGAAGGATTTGAGACGTGCCAGCTCCTGTGTCACTTTTGTAGTATCTCGTAGATTGAATAACGTTTCAAAATATCCAAAAGCAACAGCTAGCGTAGGGTATAAGTCTCAGAAGTACAAGATAGCTAAGGGGGTTCATTCAAGCCGCTCACCTCTCCACCCGCAATTTCCATCGCCTTTCATAATTCGACAATGCGAATGGGTATGAGAGAGCGCCTAGTTACTGGCAGTCAACCCTACAATCCCCAAGGTCTACCCATCCCCCATAGAAATGAGCAATGATCCCCCAAAACATACAGTAGTCTTTACAACATATATAGAATCCGCGTTCGCGTATTCGGAAGTTATCATACTGCTCGATTGTTTTGGGCCTACTAGAGGACCCTGTACGAATCGATTAGTCAGTAGGTCCAAAATAGGCCAGAGAGGTGCTCCTCACCTGTAGGTCCGGCTCATAGTGATTGGAGAGTTTTTGGAATTCCAACATATGATCCGGATCTGCCATGTTGCCAGATGGGGGAATGTTGCTCATGGTGACGTGTCGATGCTTGGTTGAAATGAACTGGATATGGGGCGTAAAATATATCTTGGAATACAGGAACTGTCCGATATGTTCGGTAGTGATATGCTGAAGAAAAGTAAAATTGAAAGTAAGTAAGGTTGAAAGGGTCCGGCGCAACTGCTGGTGACTGCATGTCGGGAAATATTTAACCAGGACTTTTTGTGTTTCTGGGGTTTTTGCCAAAGGGAAAAAAGGACTTCCAGCAACAACAACCGATCCCAATTTTCTGAGGAAGAACAGAAGGGAAACAGAATGTATATAATAGAAAGTTAACCAATGTCAAATAAGACAGTGACTAATTAAATTACATTGGGGGCACAAGGCAATGCATAACAGATACAGAGCACTGACAACATCAACAGCAGAGTAGAGAAGCAGGAGAAAAACGATACGAGGACTCACGTCAATTGACAGGAACGGGAGAGCCTGCTCCGTATTAGTATAGCTATGAAGGAGGACGTCCAGTTTATGTATTATGGTATTCTGAGGCCGCCTGGCGTCACGAAGTTGCTACTCAGATCAACTATTGTCATGACTCGGACGCTCTTTTTGTACATGAGCGATCAACACGCACGAATAGACTGCATGACGTAGTGGAGACCAGACCACCATGCCAGTTAATTGTATCGTCTGCCAAGAATATCGAGTGTATGGTGGAAACTTGGGCGATTTGTCATTGGGCTTGAAAGTTGAGCAACGATCCCGAAGAGCTGCTTATTCAGCAGCACACGAACAAACGAAGGTCACCAAAAACACCAACCACAACACGCAAGACTTTCTCCTCACCGCAAGTAGTAATCCCAATGCCATCCGTCATGCTGCAATTCCGGACCAATGGCTACTGGCTTGGCATGATTCGCTACAGCACTAAGAACAGCTGATGAAAAGGTTTGGGTCGCCAAAACCGTCCCCTGGGAGTTGGCACAGTGAACTTGTCAAGCACTCTCACTCGACTCGCCTGCCCAGCACTTGCATATTTGCTGAAATGAGATTCTGATCTATGGCGCAAGTTCCAGAGGATAACCTTCTGCAGCGACTTTTGAGAAGCGGATGGACATTTGGTTACCTCTCAAACGGCCATTGGTGTGTGCCACTGTGTGCCACTGTGTGGGATTGTCATGTACGATGCAAGGCGACTATGCACATGCAGCTAAAATCTTGTCAAATCACGAATCAATTCGAGCAACACCAACCAAGGCAATGATTATGGCGCAGCCATGCAGTGTGCATTCTTGTTGCCAAGGTACCTTTCAATCGTCAAGTCAGCACAAGCATAATTTGCGCGGAAGGCTAACGGCAGGCGGCTGTTAGAATTACCAGTTACTGTTCCTTCATATCCGTGGGCATAGTTAAGCCATGGATATTTTCTTAGTTTTTCGGGATGTCATTTACAAAATGGCTATTTTTTCATAGTCTAGGAAGTTTTCCCGACAAAATAAAGACACCTCGCCCAGCAATACCCAGCCTGGAGTTCTCGTTTCAGGTGGTATCCTCCAAATTTCTAATGAGAGAAATTTTCTAAGAAAAGCAAATTGCTATCTGCCTAGCTCGAAATTATCACCACCTGCCCAGAAATATAGTTTGTCACTTGAGCTTGAGAAATATAAAAGAGCCCGCCTTAACTCCATTTGCAATGGTTGAAGGAGTGGGAGAGGAGTCCATTGCCTTAAAGTTTGGCAACTGATGGAATTGAATCAAGTCGTTTATTATAACCGAAGCTGAAACCGAAAGACCCATTTCTCCAGAATACGCATATATTCACGGCGGATCCACGGCCACGAGATATCTACAAGTTAGGGAGCGCAGGACTGCCGTGGACACTGATTTATCCGGTGCCTGGTTCCGTTTCTAGTTGTAGTGTACAGTACATACAGTACATTGCATGGTACTTTATTTCTGTTCCCTATTGCTGCCAGCAAGCCTGGCCACATAAGCAATACATCGTCGCTCCCTCCAACGTTTGGATATCAGGTATGTCCGTAAGGCACTGGTTCTAAAGATTGTCTAACACATTTAAACCTGCTCGTGTCGATCCCCCACGGATCCTTTGTTAAAATATCAGCGGTTGAAGGCTGCTGTCGTTCTATCGGCCCTTAACTACTAATATTCGCTCATTCGGTACCGGCTATTTCTAACGCTAGCTAAGATATCAAGCTATCATTTGTTTGCCAACTCACTTTTGCGCTATACGTTTGCTTGTCGCTGTTGCTGCCCCTGACATGAAGGCTCTGGCAATAGTTATTTACCGGTTACATCGCAGCGTTCGATAAACTAGGCAAAGGTGCAACTGTGTTTACAGAGCTTTCAAGGGTGTATCATGCTACGCATCAAGTTCAATTGAAAGATTTATCTTCTGACAATTTGCGAAGAGGAATTACCTCCTGCATCAACCATTTTATTTTTGGGTGTGGCAATTATGTCCTCCATAGCAAAGCTGGCACCCGCAACCTTCCGTTGATCTTCAGTGAACCGTGGATTGATTACGGGTACTCACCGACACCAAAAAAATTGATCAGACGCAAACTGGATGGAACCCGCATGTATGAAGCACCATGGAGGAAACCGAACGTAGTCGAGCCGGAACCCAACATATCTCCATTTCTGAATACATTCACTTCTCTCCCTCGCAAATTGGTGATTTGCTTTTTTTCCAGGTCCACAGCCCAGGCAAAAACATGTTTGAAGACCCCTTACACGCCGCTAAAGCTCTTTCTGTTCTTTGCTTTGATCAACAGTAAGTATTGCCAATTGAATCAGATAAAGTGTTAAGAGGATGCCTCGTTGATGATACCCTCCAGTTATTGAGACTCGAAGGATCTGAAGTCCCGACATTCCACCGGTCGCATATCGAACCCGGAGTCGAACTCCTCTCAGCCCGTTGGCTTTACCTGCTGTTTGTTCGCAGGATTCTACATCATAAAATTGGGCTACCGTGCTTTCTATCAAAAATAGCAGATATGACTTCTTACTTGTATCACATGCATAATATCATCGCATATCATCCACCAAATGCCCCCTTCTCAGGGCCAAACAATCATTTAATTCTAGAACAAACAAAACAGCATGCATCCGTGTGATGAGAGTACAAAACTGATAGATATTGATAGCTCAATGTGCTGGGGAAAAAAGATGACAAAAAAAGAAAGGCGGGAAAAATATTGGGAAACCAGTGGAGGGGATTTTTCTTCCTTTGGTCTCCAAGTTTAGTCAAGAATAGGAAGTATATTTGAGTCATTTGTTTGATCCCATTTTTGTGAGTGTGATAACCATTAGTGATTTATTTTCCTAGTTCTTCCACTCTCCCGGTGTTCCTTTTCCTTATTTTCAGGTTCGAACAAAGAATTGTGAAATCAGTTACCTGCCATTGGCGAAGAAAAAAGGAAATTTTTATGATCATGGCTTGTGAGTTGACATCGAAGCTCCTACTGTTCGCTCTGTGGTTCGAACGAAAATTCGACCATCCAACAACAATGTGTTAGTCGTGCAATCCGCCTTACTATTAACTACTAGTTTGCTCAAATGTCGAGTATACAGTTTGATCGTTGGCTCAAAACAACAAGCAATCCTAGTTACCAAAGGCGAGGAATATGGCAAACTTCCATAGCCACCTTGGTATACATTTACCAATCGTTTGGGGAAAGATTTACACACCAAGCGGACCGTCCGAGTGAGCCTACATTTTGAAGTCGAGCTCGGATTAGTTATAGGCAAAACGCTCCGTGACTACGACCCGGCAGGCAAACGCGGCGCTTTGGACATCTCTAGATGCCAAAACCATAAAACCAGATATTCAGTAATGCCTATCGAGTGTCCAGGATAGAGTATACCTTATGGTATTGACCCCCTCTCGCGGAAGTATATTCTCTTCTATTCCCGAACCGCGAGTATAGCTACATTGAAACATTCCTCAAATACTGGGAAATCATACGACTCCAATTACTTGGTCGCCCCCTAGAGCATGCTATCGGGTACGTTGTTGTTAGGGAA